ACTTGAGTTTTATGCGTTGCAGTAAATATGGATCTATTTTCATTCTTCTATATGTTGATATTCAATTATGCCAGCATCATTTGTTGAATATGCTTTCTTATTTCCATTTTATATTTTTAACTTCTTTCTCAAAAATCAGGTGTTCATAGCGTGTGGATTGATATCTGGGTCTTCAATTCAGTTCCATTGGTCCCCTTTACTCTGAGGAGATATATCTTTCTTTGAGGTTGAGGCATGTTTATTGTATGCAGCAGAAGAATGGAGTCTGTGTTTGTATCCATTCTGTTAGCCTGTGTCTTTTTATGGGTGAGTTGAGTCCATTTATATTAAGGGATATTAATGACCAGTGATTGCTAATTCCTTTCATATTAGTTTTCATTTCTAGGGATGTTGTGTGTGTTTTTTCCTTCTTTGGGATTTACTGCTATGAGAGCATGTATTTTCTGTTTTTCTGGATATACCTAACTTCCTTGGGTTGGAGTTTTCCTTCTAGTACTTTGTGTACTGGCTTTGTGAGTAGGTATTGGCTAAATTTGATTCTTGTTTTGTCTGTTTATTGTGATTGAAAGTTTTGCTGGGTATGGGAGTCTGGGATGGCGTCCATGTTCTCTTAATGTCTGCATAATGCTTGACTAGTACCTTCTGGCTTTTATTGTTTCCATTGAGAAGTCAGGTGTAAAAATTCTGAGAGGTCTGACTCTATGTTACTTTGCTTTTTTCTTTTGCAGCTCTTAATAGTCTTCCATTATTCTGTATGTTTAGGTTTTTTATTATTATTATTAGGTGGTGTGGGGACTTAATTTTTGGTGCTGTCTGTGTGGTGTTCTTTAAGCTTCTTGTATCTTCATTTGCATATCTTTAGGTTGGAAAAGTTTTCTTCTATGATTTTCTTGAATATATTTTCTATGCTTTTGAGTTGGATTTCTTCTATCCCTATTATTCTTAGGTTTGGACTTTTCATGGTGTCCCATTTTTCCTGGATAGTTTGTCTTCAGCATTTGTTAGATTTAATGTTTTATTTGACCATTGAGCCTGTTTTCTTTTCTCTGTTGTATCCTCAGCATTTGAGATTCTCCCTTCCATCTCATGCATTCTGCTGTTTATGCTTGCATTTTTGGTTCAAAATTATCTGTGGGTCTTTGAGTGCAGGCTTTCATGTGTCAAAGCACATATAGTAGAGATGTACACATATAATAATGTGTGAAATCAGAAGACAGATTTTGAAAGTGTTAATCAGTTCTTTTCTTGCAAGTAATTTTCTATTCATATCTAATTTGCAGTTAGATTCATTCCTTGATATCATTTGTTGTGGTGTTTTTCTGTTTTGGAATATCTTTTTGGTGTTTCTTCTTTCTCTTCCCTTTCTGTATATATAGAAAGCTCACATTTTGTTGACTGTCTTATTTGCTGTTATAGTTGTCCATTGAGTTAGAAAGTGCTGGAATATCAGTGCTATGTATCATCTTAAGGTATTTTTTAAAATTTTTGTGATGTTTTTAATTTTTTTGAATGTGTATGGGTGTTTTGCCTGTATGCTCTTTTGTGTTTCATATTTATGCAGTACCTGTGGAAGCCAGAAGAGGTTATTGGATCCCCTGAAAATAGTGCTACAGATGGTTATGTACTAAGTAGGGCTGAAACTTGAACCTAAGTCTTCTGGAAGAGACAGTCGATGCTCTTAATCACTGATGCATCTCTCTAATCTCCTACATTTATATTGTTTTAGACAAAGAATAGGAATAAGGTATATAAGCCCCAGATGACAGCTTTTATCATCATTTTTTTTTAATTTTCCAAAATAATGTTAGAAACTAGAAATGTAAAGCCAATGTAATT